TTTTTTTATTTTATTTTATTATTTTATTTATTTTATTATTATTTTATTTTATTTTAAACACACAACATGGTGTATTCACACCACCTCCCTTTTTATTTTATTTTTTTATTTTATTTTATTTTTATTTTTTTATTTTATTTATTTTATTTTATTTTATTTTAAACACACAACATGGTATATTCACACCACCTCCCCTTTTATTTTATTTTTTTTTTTTATTTTATTTTATTTTAAACACACAACATGGTGTATTCACACCACCTCTTAACAACCATGGCAAGAAAGGTCGTAAAATGGGGCAAAACTCACTTAACAACAGAAACTCGCTTAGCAACAGAAATTTTGGGGGCTTGGCAACTGGCCTCCTCTCCTTCCAACAGCCTTCCCGGGAGAGTTTTTTTTGGGGGGGGGATTGTGGGTCCAAACCAAAGTATGCGGAGCACACTTCAGAAATCATGGGCGCTCCCAAACACTGGAGGTTTTAAAGAAGAGACTGCACAGTCCCTTGTCTGAGATGGTATAGGTTCTCCTGCTTGAGCAGGGGGCTGGACTAGAAGACCTCCAAGGTCCCTTCCAACTCTATTCACTATTCACCATCTCCTTCTGATTGGCCCAAAGTCCAGCTTCTATTCTATTCTATTCTATTCTATTCTACTCTACTCTACTCTACTCTATTCTATTCTACTCTATTCTATTATTCTATTCTATTCTATTCTACTCTATTAATTTTCCATCTATTCTAATTCTATTCTATTCTAATTTTCCATCTATTCTATTCTATTCTATTCTATTCTATTCTATTCTATTCTATTCTATTCTATTCTATTCTATTCTTCTATTATTAATTTTCCATCTATTCTTATTCTAATTCTATTCTATTCTTCACGCAACCGCCTCATTCCCCATGTGGGCCACCAGGGGGCGCCGAGAGTTTCTCCCCGGCTTTACAAGGGTCCCGGTTGAGTTGCGCAAGATCCCTCGAGCCATCCCGGGGCCGCGCTTTCCGCTCCCGGGGACAGGCAGACGTTCAACCGGTGCAGCTCCTTCCTTCTCTTCCTTCTATGCTTCCCCCCCCTCCGTCTACAGTTTCATCTCTTTTGCTGAGCTGGGGGCTTTCTCCAAACGGCGCCCTCCCTGCCCCCCCCGCCTCCCCCGACGGCCTTCCCTCCCTCCCCCGGAGCCTGCCTGTCGCCCGGCCGAGCCATTTGCGTGGGTTCTTGGCTAGTCTTACGCGGCGACCCCCAAACCAGCCTTTTTTGGGGGGCGGGGGGCTCAAGAGCGATTCGGCTATTAGGGGCGTCTGGAGGGGGGGGGTTCCTCATCGGATAGGGCTGAGTCCCCTAAAGGCTGGCTCTCGCGTTCCCCAGGAGTGAATAATTAGCAGTCTCTAATTGGGGGGGGGGGTCGTCCGGATGGCAGAAACCGTGGGAACGGTGGTCCCGCGAGCTGGGACGCGGGGGTCGCCCTCCACCGCCTCCGTCTTGGGGAATCCTGCTCGATCTTCTCAGGGATCCCTCCGGAGCGCCCAGATCCCCCGCTTTGGGCGTGGGGAGGGTCTGCTCCGGCAGCCAAGAAGCCCGCCCTGAAACCGCCCAGCCCTCGCGCCCCTCCAGGCTTGGGGAAGGCTGCCTTTCTAAGCCCCCCACCCCTCCGTCGCGGCTCCTGTCCTGGCTTCTAACTTGGGGGGAGGGGGCTTCTGGCGAAGAAGGCGAGACCCCCCCCCCCGGCCCGGCTCGGCTGGGCGTTGCGCAACGGCCCCCACGCGGGTCCCGGAGGGTCAGGAAGAGCCAGAGCCAGAAAGGGCCGGCGGGGGGGCTGGGAGAGGACAGGCAGAAGCCCGCCCATTGGCTTGCCCCCCCCGGGGTGGGGGCAGCCCCAGTCCCCGCCCGTTGCTGCAGCCCAGCCCCGTCGCTTCTCCAGGCAGCGCCGGACGGCTCGGATGCTCGGGCGTCCCTCCGTCTGGCACAGCGACCCTCGCGGCAGCCCGGAAGAGGAGACGACCCCCCCACCCCTCAAGGAGTACCCCCACCCACCCANCCGCCCATTGGCTTGCCCCCCCCGGGGTGGGGGCAGCCCCAGTCCCCGCCCGTTGCTGCAGCCCAGCCCCGTCGCTTCTCCAGGCAGCGCCGGACGGCTCGGATGCTCGGGCGTCCCTCCGTCTGGCACAGCGACCCTCGCGGCAGCCCGGAAGAGGAGACGACCCCCCCACCCCTCAAGGAGTACCCCCACCCACCCACCTGGACCCCAGCTGCCGTTGGAAAGCCCCAGAAACCCAACCAGATCCGACTTCTGCTTCCATGACTAAAAGAGGTGCAGGTATTCCGCCCGGTGCCACCCTTCTACTTCCCAGTGGATGCTCTAAGCTGCTAGACCTCAGTGAGGCTCTCGCCCTCTAGGATTCAGACGGGGTGCTCCTGGCAGGCAAGCAACCTACTGATTTCTTGGCCACTTTTCCAGTGCCTCTTTTTCTTCTTCTTCTTTTAATCGCCCAACGCTCTCTGAGCGAGCCGAGAGGAAAGCCAGCCCTCTCTCCCCTCCAGGTTCCTTGCGGGGGGGTCTCCCCAGTGCCAATGGGCCCGAATCGGACCCCCAGCTTCGCAGGCAGCCTGCCCCGCCAGTGCAGCAACCTCACCACCCTGCAGACGGACAGCAACCCCACCCTCAGCTCCTTTATGTTTGCGGCGGGGGTGGTGGGCAACCTGGCAGCCCTGGCCATCCTCGGGGTCCACCGGAAAGACCAGCGGGCCAAGACCTCATCCTTCTGCATCTTGGTGACAGGCCTGGTGGTGACTGACCTGGCGGGCACCTGCGTGGTCTCTCCGGTGGTGTTCATAGCCTACTCCTGCAACTCCACGCTGGTGGGCATGGTGGGGGGCCAGCACTGGCTGTGTGACTTCTTCGCCTTCTCCATGATGTTCTTCAGCCTGGCGGCCATGTTCCTCCTGTGCGCCATGGCCGTGGAGCGCTGCCTGGCCATCAGCTACCCCTACGTCTACTCGCAGCACCACGTCCGGCGGTGGGTCAAGCTCTGCCTGCCCCTCACCTACCTCTTCAGCGGTCTCTTCTGCGCCCTGCCCTTTCTGAAAGTGGGCAAGTTCAAGCAATACTGTCCGGGCACCTGGTGCTTCGTCCAGATGGACAAGGACATGGACCTGGGCTACAAGGACGTGGCTTTCTCCTTGTGCTACGCCACCGTCATGGCGCTCCTGATCACGGCCGTCTTCCTCTGCAACTGGCTGGTCATCCTCAGCCTCTGCCAGATGTACCAAAAGCAGAGACACCGCCGTCGGGGGTCCCTCAGCACCGGCCAGCGCCGGAAGAAGAGCTGGTTCAGCCGAGGGGAGGAGGAGCTGGACTACCTGATCTTGCTCGCTCTCATGACCGTCATCTTCGTCATCTGCTCCTTGCCCCTCACGGTAGGTGCTGCACCCCCACCCCCCTCCGGGCACAATCGGCGGTCCTGGGAAGGGGGCCACGGAGAGGGTGGGCGGGGGGGGGGCTGCCTTGGAAGCGCTGGGAAATTCCTGGGAAACAACCAGATTGGTGTCCTGGTGAATAGAAACTGGGAGACTGTGACTTCTAGTTCTGCTTGAAGTGTGAAGCCAGCTGGGTGACTCTGAGCCAGTCACTTTCTCTCGGCCCCAGGAAGGAGGCAAAGGCAACACACCTATGACAAACCTTGCCAAGAAAACTGCAGGGCCTTCTCCATGCTGGCTGGGGAATTCTGGGAGTTGAAGTCCACCCATCTTCCAGTGGCCAAGTTTGAGAAACACTGGTCTAGTCTAAGGAGGGGTGACAACATCCTTCCTTCCAGTTCTTCCGTAACTCCTTCAGAAGCCCAACGCCCAGCCCTCCATCCAGACCCCTCATTGGGGCTCATCCTATCCTGTTGACAGAGCCCCAGAGCTGGCATTGTGGAGGAGAGATTCCAGAAAATGGTTACCAGCAAGGAGCAGATCCATCTCCTTCTGCAGGACGTTATAGTATTTGAGCTTCTCTGTGATTTCCATCACAAGAGCCATTATCAGAAGAGTAAAAACATTCCAAGCTGTCCTTGCTCCTCTTCCCTCCCCACCCAGTTTTCCTTTGATGCTATCTCTCTCTCTCTCTTTCTCCTTTTTTAAAGTATATAATCCCCCAAGAATCAGGGTGGGGAGGGGAGAACAGGACCATCTGCATTCTTCCTTCTTCAGTAGCTCAGGAGAGCAGTCTTTCTGGCGGAGAATAAGCAGTTTAAATAAATGGATAAGTGTGTCTGTCCCCTCTTTTAGGGCCAGATGAAATGGGCCCACCTGCTTAGTTCACTCAGGATCATTTGCAGTTAAAGGCTTAAAGCAGAGCCAGCTTATTAAAACAGAACTCCAGAAATGAAGAGCGGAGACATTTTTAAATCTAGGATGTGGGAATGTCCAGAATTGTCCAATCTTTGCTCCCGGCGAATTAAAAACGGGGCTATTTTAATGCCAGCTTCTCAGTCTTTCCGGTCTTCTGTACAGATATACCTAAAGTGTCCCTTAGGATAGAGCAGGGGTAGGCAACCTCGGCTCTTTTATGACTGGTGGACTTCAACTCCCAGAATTCCTGAGCCAGCATGGGGGAACTATGGCCCCTTCGTGACTTGTGGACTTCAACTCCCAGAATTCCTGAGCCAGCATGAGGGAACTATGGCCCCCTCATGACTCGTGGACTTCAACTCCCAGAATTCCTGAGCCAGCATGAGGGAACTATGGCCCCCTCAAGACTTGTGGACTTCAACTCCCAGAATTCCTGAGCCAGCATGGCTCAGCTTGGAAACCTCTCCCTTTCCCCTCAGCATGGCTGGCTCAGGAATTCTGGGAGTTGAAGTCCACGAGTCCTAAAAGAGCCAAGGTTGCCTACCCCTGGTCTAAAGGCACCATCTACCCTTCAACCACAGATCATTTTCTACACTCATAAAAAAGAGAAACGTCAAGCTGAATTTTCCTGCTTTCTCTTTGTCCTCGCACCCCCAAACATCTGGGCTCCTCCTGCCCCTTATGTGGGTGAGTTATCAGCTCTTTCTCCTCCCAGCAGTCTGAATCTGAGCTTAGCAAGGTGGATGTCCTTATCTTATCTCCCCCCCCCACTTCATCAGCTGAGGCTAGGTAAATACAGAGGTTCTTAGATTTTCTGCAGCAATAATTGGGGTTCCCCCCCTCCAGTTTTGGATAACATCCAGTCGCTTGTCTTGATTAAAAGTGGGAACATTTCTGGAGAAAGGGAGAAAAATTATTCAGTAGTAAGCCACAAAAATTAAAAATATGAGTCTTTTTCTTGTTTCCACATATTTTCCTTCCTTCCTTCCTACTTTCTCTCTCTCTCTCTCTGTCTCCTTCCTTCCTTCCTTCCTTCTTTCCTCTTTCCCTTTCTCTCTCCTTCTTTCTCTCTCCTTCCTTCTTTCTTTCTTCCTCTTTCTTTCTTTCTCTCTCTCCTTCCTTCCTTCTTTCCTTTCTTTTTCTTTCTTTCTTTCTTTCTCTCCTTCTTTCTTTCTCTTTCTTTCTCTCTCTCCTTCCTTCCTTCTCTCTCTCTCTCTCTCCTTCCTTTCTTTCCTCTTTCTCTTTCTCTCTCCTTCTTTCTCCTTCCTTCTTTCTTTCTCTTTCTTTCTTTCTTTCTCTCTCTCCTTCCTTCCTTCTTTCCTTCCTTCTTTCCTTCCTTCTTTCCTTTCTTTCTTTCTCTCCTTCTTTCCTTCTATCTTTCTTTCTCTCTCTCTCCTTCCTTCCTTCCTTCTCTCTCTATCTCTCTCTCTCTCCCCCTCACACACACATTTTCAATTACACACTTGCCTATTTTCAGGTTTATAGCCTGAAGTTATTTATTCCTTTAGAGCTGTGTTGCTCAACCTTGGCAACTTTAAGATGCTGTTGTCACTCGGAACAGTCACTAAATGAACAGCTGTAAGTCGAGGCCTGCACCTTTTTCGTGGTGATGGACGTGGGGAACCATCCTCGTTTGGCATTGCCTTGGTTAAAAAAACATTTCCCCCAGTTTTGAGACAGAAAACCCCAGATGCTGCCTTATGAAATGGCAATAATGTTGATGGCTTGTTCCTCCTTGTTAAAAGCCACTTTCCTGCCATTTGTTCCATTAAAATTAATGTCCAGGATGGCTTGCCATCTCCTCAACAGGATAGAAAAACCAGAACAGAAAATATGTGTGAGAAAGCCGCAATTAAAGGGGGAAGTGCAAGGGACACAAATTGTTTCATCTCCTGTCAGTCAGGAAGCTCTCTACAAGCGGGAAGGCGAACGTCTTACCCAAAAACGGGCATCTTTGCGCAACGTGGCACGGTTGTCAAACGGAGACACAAGAGGAACACATTACGTGCCAGGAATCTTAACCACGGCGCTTAATAGGGCTGTTTGTGGAAGGGATCAAAAAGTCAAGCTGGTGGAGGATCGCTTGACCCCCTTCCTCTTTGTGGCAGCCCCTCAAATACTGGAAGATGTCATATTCAAAGGCTTGAATCTGTCCCCCTCGCCATCCAATGCCAGGCAGTCCCAACCTGCCACTCCTTAGGATCCGGTCCAAACAGGATGGCTGAAGGCTGTTGTTACATTACTCGGGCAACAGAAAGCCGGCAGGTGCGATAACTCAGCACGAAAGAGTGTCTGGGTCAGGCTCTGTCAATAATTGCTGGGGCGTCGAGAGGCCTAATAAGAACAACCGATAAGGGGGCAAGAGACCGACTTTCCAGGGCTCAAAGCTGCCCGATTCTGAGGCTGGAACCCAGGGCTTCGTTTGCTGGGGTTCCTTGGGGAAAACCCCCGAAAAGTTTGCTCCGAGTGATGGGCTGGAAGTCTCGGCAATCCGGTTCCCCAGACCAGGAGACGGGAGAAGAATCTCTCCCAACCCACACTGAATTTCCAGTTCTGTTCCACTCGGTAACTTGATGCCAGTTTACGAGGGTTCTGAGCGTGCCAAGCACCCAGCTTCTCTGCCCTCCTTCAGTCACGACCAGCCTTATCACTTCATCTGGGGGTAGGAAGTGGCAGACTTTCTGGGGCACAAGGCAAGCTTGCTGCCCCCTTCTTCCGCTGGATAGCTTTTTCGGTACGTTAGACTAAAAAAAACCCTCCCCCCAAAGAGTGCTTCCCTTTCTCGTTGTCCGTCAGCGACGTGCTAAGTTTCCGACGGAACCCGTTCCGCTTCCAAAAGATTGTCGTTTACAGATGCCTCTCAGAGGCAGTAAGTCCAGGGCCAACAGGGTTTCTACGAAAAAGTCCTCCGTTGACCTGAAAGAACAAAAACTTTGAAGAAGTTTCGCTTCTCATCCACGAAGCTTCTTCAACTCTGACTGGATATTGGGGAACGGAAGGATTTATACTCCTTGCAGACAGCTGGTCCTTTGCCTTCTTTTAAGGAGTCGTTGAGGCCACTTGGAGGTTTACCTGGGTCCTCAATGTCATCTGAGTGGTGCAAATGGGTGTGGAGCCTTCTTGGGACTGCTGAGGACACCATCTATCACCAGTCTACAACACAGTCCTTTCGGCAGTCCCAAGAAGGCTCCCCCACCCCATTTGAACCACTCAGGTGACCCTGAAGACATAGACAAACCTCCAAGTGGCCTCAACGACTCCCTAAAAGAAGGCAAATGACCAGAAGTCTGCAAGGAATATAAATCCTTTCATTTCTCCACCATCCAGTCAGAGCTGAAGAAGCTTCTTGGATGAGAAGCGAAAAGTCTTCGAAGAAAAACAAGAAAGTCCAGTTCCCTCGTGAAAAAAAGCACCTTTGGGTTTTCTAACACCAAGTTTTCAGCTCAGAAAAGCAGGCCAGGCCTGTTTAGAATGCGGGGTAAAAAGTCTTAGGAAGAAATACAGATACAGTCCTCGACTTACAGTCATCCATTTAAAGAGCGTTCAAACTTACGCCACTGAAAAAAGTGACTTACAACCAGTCCTCACACTTACGATGGTCGCAGTGTCCTCACCATCACGTGATCACAATTCGGGCGCTTGGCAGCCGGCATGCACTTACGACGGTTGCAGCATCCCCCGTGTGTGTGTGTGTGTGTGTGTGTGTGTCACAAGGTGTCCAGTGAGCACAGTTAATGTGGGAAGCCGGATTCCTTTAACAACGGTATGATTCACTTAACGACTGCAGTGATTCGTTAAGCCTTGGCCAAAAAAACCCAAAAGGTCATAAAAATCACTTAGCGACCCCTTTTCCTAGCAATGGAAATGATGAAAGTTGTAAGTTGAGGACTTTTTGTAAACTAGCCCTTGAAGGCAGATTGGGCCCTCTCAGCGGGGAAGGTCAAAAGAATTGGGGGGGGGGATCGACCGTGCACTTAAAAAGGGAGGGGGCTTCCCGATCCCTGGGAAAAAAGATACCCCGAATACTGCAGAGGGACGTTTGAAAAAGGAAGCCAGAAACTGGAAAGCAATTAAGGCAGTAATTATTGCTCTTCCGATCAGGAAAAAAACCAGACCTGTCTCTGGAGAGCATCGCCTTGTGGTTTCAGGGTAGGTGGGAAAATATTTCTAACTGCTGCCCGTCTCTCGCTCCCAGCTGTGGAATATGGGCCAGGGAATCTTGCCAGCACCAGGGGAGGACAATTTTCCGATCCTCTCCCCTCGGAGCTCATCTCCCTCTGGAAATTGTGCTGGCCACTGCAGAGTGGCCAGCAAATTGTCCCTTTTATTGTAAAAGGGGAAGGTCATTGGACACGGGGGGGGGGAGGAGAAGGGAAAGTCTCATGTCTCCCTGAGTGCCATTTTCTTTCCAAAGCAGGGGGGGGGGTCAGATTTAATTGGGTCCTGCGCTGGCCACTAGCCAAGGTTGTCCTCGCAGACAAAATGCAGCCGTTGATTTAAAACAAGCTTGGCCTGCCCAGTCCGGCTGGCCAGAGGCCAAAAGATTTTAGCGTGGCCCTCTTCAATCTGGCGCCTTCCAGAAGTGCTGGGACTCCAGCTCCCAAAATTCCCAGCCAGCATGTCCCGGGGGGCCAGTTACTACTAGCATCCTTCTTTGTTTGCAGAAGAGTTTCTCAACTCCGGAGACTTTAACAGGGGTGGACTTCAACTCCCAGAATGCCCTAGCCAGCAGACGATTGAACTCGAAGCTGTGTGGACTACAACGCCCAGAATTTCCCAGCCAGCACGCTTCCCCAGCCGGCTGGAGCTGAAGTCCACCCCTCTTCAGGTTTATTCGGAATCAGTCTAGGGAATTCTGGGAGTTGAAGTCCACCCATCTTAAAGTGGCCACACTTGAGAACCTTATCAAAAAACAGTCTTTCCTGAGAATTTCTGTAATGAGATTCCGCCCCTGCTTCCAGCTTCTGATTCAGCTCATCCCCCATCTTGTCAGCTCTCACTTCCCAGAATATCCCTTTTTTTATTCCTTTGGGGGGAAGCCTCACGAAATGGGGGAGGAGCGTTTTGCAAGCCAAGGGGTTGTCCTGATCCGATGCACTACAAGTTCCCATCCTATGTTGGCCAACCCAACCGTTGGCTGGAGGCCCTTCTGCAAATCTATCCGGGAGAGCAAAACTCAATCATTTTTTAACCCGCATCCCAGGAGACTTTCTCTCTGGTAAAGCTCAGCTGCTTCTCAAAGAATAACGGAGCTGGAAGGGGCCTTGGAGGTCTTCTAGTCCAACCCCCTGCTCAAGCAGGAAACCCTACATCAGTGGTTCTCAACCTTTTTAATGCCGCGACCCCAACCGGTCGTAAGTCAAGGACTAAACCGGTCGTAAGTCGAGGACTAAACCGGTCGTAAGTCGAGGACTACCCAACCGGTCGTAAGTCGAGGACTTTCCCTGCCCGGGAGCGCCGCACATGCGTGGTTCCGCCCCGTGCGCCGGCCGAGGCGTAGCTGGCAAGCGGCAGAGACGGAGCAGGCCGACCACCAGCTGGCCCAGCCCAAGGGAGGTAAGGCACCCGCCGGAAAAGGGGAAAAAAAATGGCGGACAAAAAAAATGGCAGACAGCCTTGCTTGGCGACCCCCATGAAATGGTCGATCGACCCCAAATGGGGTCCCGACCCACAGGTTGAGAACCACTGCCCTACATCATCCTGGTCAAATGGCTGTCCAATTTCTTCTTGAAAACCTCCAGTGATGGAACACCCACAACTTCCACTGGTTAATTGTTCTCACTGTCAGGAAGTTTCTCCTGAGTTCCAGGTTGCTTCTCTCCTTGGTTAGTTTCCATCCGTTGCTTCTTGTCCTGCCTTCAGGGACTTTGGAGAATAGCTTGACTCCCTCTTCTTTGGGGCAGCCCCTGAGATATTGGAAGACTGCTATCATGTCCCCCCTCATCCTTCTCTTCATTAAACTAGACATACCCAATTCCAGCAACCGTTCCTTATACGTTTTAGCCTCCAGTCCCCTAATCATCTTTGTTGCTCTTCTCTGCCCTCTTTCTAGAGTCTCAACATCTTTTTTACATCATGGTGACCAAAACTGGATGTCGTATTCCAAGTGTGGCCTTACCAAGGGGTTGTAAAGTAGTGTTAATGCTTTATGTGATCTTGATTCTATCCCTCAGTTAATGCAGCCTCGGACCGTGTTGGCTTTTTTGGGGTTACTTGTGAGGAGAACTATTTCCAAAGATGCAGTTCTACTTACAAAGTGACAAACCTTCCATTTTGAAACAGGGGAATCTTAACACCACTGACTAATAGAAGTTTTCCCCGTCCAGAATCAGATTGATATTTAATGGAAGGGAGAATTTGGATGTTTTGTTTTGTTTTTTAAAAAAAGAAAACCACATTTACAAAAAAAAACCCAAAAAACAAGCACTTACAAAAAGTCACTTATGCAAACACAGCTGCAGCAATTTGCAAAACAACCAAGACTTTTTTGTTGTTTCTTTCTGAAGCACTGCAAACGCTATTAAAAGTGCTTTGTAAACTAGCATTCCTAAGGGATTGCGTTTAATTCGACAAAGATTTTAATCTGAAGTCAGATTTAATTTAATCTGGGCTCAGTTCAAAATCACCAGATTGCAGAATGATAGAGAGTATAGAGATGGTATATTGTATATAGAGAATATATAGTGTATCGTAGCATGGGTTTTCCTAGACTTATAACAGCTCATTTTGTGGCCGTTCAAAGTTACAATGGCACTGAAAAAAGTGATTTAGGACCATTTTTCACACTTATGACGGTTGCAGCATCCCCAGAGTCACGTGGTCGTAAGTCAAGGAATATCTGTATATAGCTATAGAATCGTATAGATATATGCAATTCTTTATTATTATAAGCAAGCCTGAGACTCTCCTAATGAATTTAGGTCAGTTGGGAAGCAGTAAAACTATCGCAAAATTTTCCAACCTTGAGCGGGAATTTGTGTAAATCCTTTAATTCTTTTCTTTGTTTGGTTAGTTCTGGGTTCCTTTTACCTGATCAAAGAACATTTGCAGAAATTTCTTGTGTAGTTAAACATCTGCCAAAAATAAATACTCCTCGGGTTTTTTAGGACAACAATTCGTCTTTTTTAAAAGGAAGGTGTTTTTTTTATTATTATTATTATTCTGACAGACACAAGCTAAACATATAGGGTCAACATTTCTAAATACAAGCCTGACAAGCTCTGCGTAAAAAGCCATCCTTCTTGTAAGTTTCCACCTCTGTTACAAAGCCTGGCTTACTTTTTTTCACATCCCGTGCGTGGACCCAGTTTTTACTGTGCTTTGTTTTAAAGTCAGGGTGGAGACAGTAGCTTAACCATCCGTTTGCAACGTCCTGTGCAGCCCTCAAATTATGACCGCAGCAGGCACCAAAATTTCCACCGCTCAGCAAAGGAATGGTTAAGTAAGTTGCACCCAATTTTACAGCCTTTTTGGGTTGTTAAGCGAATCACTGCAGGCGTTAAGCGAAGCAAGCAATCGTTTAGCAAATCCAGCTTCCTCCCCCATTGACATTGCTTGTCGGAAGCCTGCGGGGAAGGTGGCAAGTGGGGTCACGTCACAAACACACACATACGCACACAGACACACCAGGATGCTGCAACCATCCTAAATGAATGCTGGGTGCCAAGAGCCCAAATTTTGATCGGGTGAATAGAGGGATTCTGTGACAGTCAAAAGGGGAAGGAGCGGTTGTAAGTCACATTTTCCAGTGCTGTTGGAACTTCGAAGTAGCACTGAGGTTGTTACCTAGTTTGGTCATGAAACGTCTGCAAGAAAACCACCAAGCTCGGAGAGCACCAAGTTACCTCACAGTCATTCTCCTCCTCCTCCTCTTCTTTTCCTTCTCCTCCTCCTCCTCTTTTCCTCTCCTCCTCCTCCTCCTCCTCCTCCTCCTCCTCCACTTTCCTCTAGTCCTAATTTGGCTCTTGAGAAAAGAAGGGTCCTGCTTGCCTCAGTTCCCACCCTCTTTTCTCAGGAATTTTGCAATCAGCAGAGTTAAGAGGTCAAAATCGCTCTCCACTTTCTTAAAAATAAAATAAAATCTGCTATTCATTTGGGAGAAGAACACAGCAGTTAGGACAAAAATAGGAACCAGGCTGGAAACCCATCACCAGACCAGGTCATGTACATTATAAATAACCTGGACTCCATCGTTAATCTCAGACCGAGGAATCACTTCAGAAACCCTTCTTTGGCCACAAAGCTGAAATGGGGTGTCCTTGGGTCAGTCTGATCACCGGGCAGGAAGGTCGTGAAGATGAAATGGAAAAATGACAAGCAACCAAGAAGGGGTCGTGGCAGTTTTAAGACTTGTGGGCTTCAATAGTTGTAGCTCAGAATCGAAATGGTGCTCTCTGAGCTTGGTTGCTTGCAGACGTTTCATGACCCAACTAAGGAACATCATCAGTGTTAGAAGGGAGGGGAATTTGCAGATAGGAGGGGGAGGGAGGGAGGGAGGAGGAGGATTGTGGGGTCCTTGGTGCTCTCTGAGCTTACTGGTTTCCTTGCAGACGTTTCATGACCCAACTAGGAAACATCATCAGTGCTACAAGCAGTGGGGTTTGTGGCAAGGAGGAGGACGATGACAACTGTGAGGTCCTTGGTGCCCTCTGAGCTTAGCTGCCAACGCTTTGTTTCCCGTTGCCTTCTAGATCAGAGCCTACATCGGTGGCATCGATCCAGACCACAGCGAAGCAGCCGACATGGTTGCCTTCCGCCTGAGCGCCCTCAACCCCATCGTGGACCCCTGGCTCTTCATCGTCTTCCGCCACGCCGTCTTCCACAGCCTCCGCCGTTTCTTCTGCTACCAGCTCAGCTGGCCCTGCTGGTTTAGGCCGCCTAAAGGGACGACCACGCTCGGGACTCAGGACAGCCTGCCCTGCCAAGCCCAGTCGGTCTGCTGACAAGGGCCCTGCTCAAACTTCGGAATTTGGGGCTCCCGGGCAGGGGGAAGGGGGCGAGTGGGGAGGGCCTGGGGAGCTGTGTGGGAAGGGCCCCCTCCACCATTTCCCAGGGTCCCAGAATCGAACAGAAGAAGCATCATCTCCTTGGAATTGCTGACGAGGAAGAATAACAGACTTGGAAGGGACCGTGGAGGTCTTCTAGTCCAACCCAGGTTGAGAAACGTTAAGGGCGTCTGATAAGGGCTTGGGGTGCAGGAGAAGGGAAGGTCCATTCTGCCTCCAAAGGGGGCTAAATTGGAGGGAGGGGCTGGAAGAAACACAAGGGAACAACCTGGGGGTTTACTTTGTACCTCTTCGTCTTCAACACCCTTCTCAGACTGTGTATAGTTAGTGATGCTGGTCAAAGGCTGACTCACACTTGGGTACCACTTCATGCAGGATGCTGCTGGTCACACTCAACAGCTCCAGAGAACCTGGACAGGTCTTGAATAAATAAAGGAAGCACTGAAAACAAACCCTCCATCTCTCCATTTAATTTTAAATTATTTCTTAGGTTGTTTTTTTTTTAAACCCCTGCGATCTTCGGACGCTCAGTGGCTCGTAATCCCCGAGAAACGCCGCCACACCACAACAAAAACTCAACTAGGGAAACTGCAAAAAAGAGAAGATTAACTAGGCTACAGTGCTTCTATTCTGGCTTCTAAAGGAGCATAACTTCTCCCAAAGCAATCGGGCCAGATCTTTGTTGCTTCCATTTATTTTTTTATTTTAGTTTAGTTTTTGGCCCAACCTCTTTTTTTCCAATTCAAGCGGGATTGCGGTTTTTTTGGGGGAATGTAAAAACAAAAATGGCTGGCTTTAAAAAAAAAAAAAGCTAATGTTTTGCTGGAAGATGGTTTGGTTTTAATTTTTTACAAGGGTTAGGGCAAACACGTGGAGTCTTAACACATATCCTTTCACTAATGGTTCTTCCTAACCCTGTTTAAAATGATTTCCCATCACCAGGAAATCCAGAATGGAAGAAAAAAAGCAGATGAGTTAATTTTGCCTTACGACAAGGGTTCCACGGTCAGAAATCCGAAGTTGAGTAGCATTTTTTCCACCTAACAAAAGTTTATTAAGTTTCTGCCTTTTAATAAACTTTGTTAGTTGGAAAAGTGCTCTTAGATTCCTCCTGGTTCTTGGAGAAGAACCAGACAAGCAAGACTTATCCCTATCATGGCCGGGATCACAATGACCAGTTGATCCCTTTTTCGTGTCTTCAGCTTTTCTTTGACTTCTTAGAGGTTGCCTTGTTAGTCTTTAGGGGTTTAAAAAGCTCCATCTGAAGGTGTCACGGTAAAAATGGTCAGCAGGAGGACCTGTCCAGCCTTCCTATTCTTTGACCAGTTCCTCCTTCAGAAGCTTCACGTGGAATTTCTCTCCTTCCCAAAACCAGGAACCCAAATTTCTTCCCCATGTAAGAACCTGTGTTGTGGGGTCCTTGATGCTTTCTGAGCTGGGTGGTTTTCTTGCAGACGTTTCATGACCCAACTACATAACATCATCAGTGATACATAGCAGTGGGGTTTGCAGAGTGGAAGAGGAGGACTGTGGGGTCCCTGGTGGTCTCTGAGCTGGGTGGTTTTCTTGCAGACGTTTCATGATCCAAACAGGTAACATAATCAGTGCTAGAAGGGAGTGGGGTATGTGGAGAGGAGGAGGAGGAGGAGGAGGAGGACAACGACTGTGGTTGTTTCCTGAGCTTGATTGTTTTTCATGATCCAATTAGGTAACATCATCCTTGCTAGAAGGGTGTGGGGTGAGTGGAGGAGGAAGAGGAGAAGGACTGTGGGGCCCTTGGTACTCTCTGAGCTTGGTCATTCTCTTGCAGACCTTTCATAACCCAACTAGGTAACAACACCAGTGCTGGTGAGTGTGGGGTTTGGTCTGTTTATATAGCATAGCTTGCCCTACCAATGAGAGTAGGAGTGTGGTTTTTCTCCCTGGTAGTTCTTTGATTAAGATATTGTTCTCTTCCAAATTGTTTGTCTGGAGTTCATCCCCGCTTATCTGTGTATCGGCTGCACTGATGATGTTACCCAGTCGGGTAATGAGAGGTCTGCAAGAAAAGCCACGAAAGCGCAAAGAGAACCAAGGACCCTGACAGTTGATAAGCAATTCATCTCCATGATCTCCTTCTGAGAACAATCAGCAGCTCTTCTGTTCTCCAAGAAGCCCCCGAGATAAGAAAGTTGGCTTGACACATTTTCAACCTGAAGCAACAATCCAGCTTGCATCCTGGAGTGGTGGGTGCTCCATCACTGGAGGGCTTCAAGAAAAGATGGACTAGATTTGTGTCCAGGATGGTATAAAGCAGGGGTAGTCAACCTTGGCTCTTTTATGACTCGTGGACTTCAACTCCCAGAATTCCTGAGCCAGCTAAGCTGGCTCAGGAATTCTGGGAATTGAAGTCCACGAGTCATAAAAGAGCCAAGGTTGACTACCCCTGGTATAAAGT